ATTGAACTTATTTTTTTTAATCAAAGAATTGATCGTTTAGTTTCCATAAACATGCTCTAGTAAAGCATATGTCTCAGACATACACAAATAATGTAATATTATGAACTTTTATATACAAATGAAATAAAAAAAGAATCTCATAACATTACCGTTCTCAAATGACGATTGGTTCGTAAAGCATAAATAACAATTGTATTACCCACAATAGTAAGTAAAGCAAGGCTAAACATTGTTACAGCAAGAAGACCAATATGAATCCAAGATAAATTACTATTAAACTCATTTTTCACTGTTGTGTTTTTACATATATTAATTCCACTCATGTCGTAAGAATAATATATATCTGAAATTTTTAAAGAAAACAAAAGTTTTACTTTGAAAATGCTGTTTTTCTATATATTCTTGCGATCTATAATTGACGCATTATTATCTTTAATATATCGATGTTCTTTTTTACTTACCATTAGTTTATGAAGAGTGTTCTCGAAGTTTTGAAACGATTTTAGAATTTCTCGTTCTTGCATTCAGCAAAAGGGGAAATAAACTATTTTGCAACTTCGAAAGATTATTTTATCTAATTGGTACAAAATATAACTGTTACTATGAATATCATGTTTTATTTTATTAATTTTCTAATAAGTTAAATGGATAAATTTCTAAAAGAATCTCGGACTTTTATCAGATAGCAAAGTGTTGATTATATGCATGAATAGCTCTTAGCTCTATGAATATGTCCTCTTGTTTTTTTTTAATACAATTCATTTTATGACCGACATCTTCTATAACGTAGATCATAAAAGGTTCTTCTCGTTATTTAGATTATTATCCTTATGTACCTAGATTCTATTTCTTTTTCTTTGGTTATTAGTCATCCGTCATGAAATTTTCTTTCTTTTTGCTCTTCATTCTTTCAATATATTTGATGAATCTTCCTGTGTTGTACATCATCTATGGAATTTTCCATCATATAGTTTTCCCTGTGCTATTATCGTTCTATACACAGTCGTTACCTTGTTATGAAAAGACATATATTTATATATATATAGAAATATATAAAAATGAGCTAGAAATGAAATTAATATGTCATCATCGGCTACAATAACTCGCTGTCTTTCAAGAGCATAGAGTACCAGTGATCAGTTTTTCTCCTTCATGAGCCGACTTATTGAACAGCTAAGTTTCTCTTAGCCCTAACTTTCTGATAGCACTATTTCGGTACGTACTTATGCAGTTAAGTGATATGACCTGGAAGCAATAAAAGTACATGTAGAATGACACCAGTTTTAGTTCTTTCGCAAAAAACCAACTGATCATCGAGACTAGTTCCATTTTTCATTCTACAGCTGCCACATATTGATTGGTGACAGATGTGAGAAATTCATTCGAACTATTGTAATAAAAAAAAGCAGCTATAGCATAACATGATTGACGAAATGTACTTTTCCAAAATGATAAAAAACCATAAAGAAAGAATGTTAGTAGTTTTGGATACTATTGAAGCTATTTTTTGTATAATTTGAATGGAAACAAAATATTGTGTGACAAAACTAGTCAAGATTTATTCTATAGAAAATTTTTCCGATGTATTAAAAGAAAAAATTACAAAAGAAGGAATACAATTAAATTTAAGAGAAAAATGACCTAGAAACAAGGCATGGAAATAATTTAGTAGTTGTGTTTTTCTTCACGTCAACTAATGATAGACATAATATCAGTACCATTCAAATTAATAGTCGATTATGATAGAAATTAAATGTACGAATATACTAATAACTTGATATATATACATACATATTTCTTTTTATTTGAAAATATTAACTAAGAAGATCAAGAAAATCGATAAAAAAGTACATGATAGTATTGTTACAGTTTTTTAATTGTAGTAAAAGTAATAGACCTTCAACATTGTACTTATTTAATACTAAGTAAAATTCTGTACCAAAAATGCAGAGTTTGCTTTTTGCTGAATATAAAAATCATGAATTTTAAAATCATTTTAGAACATCTGCGGCACATCTTATATATTGTGCAAATTGTGATAGAAAAGATAGAAAGAAAAAATACAGCTCAGTATTTGTATGAAGAGAAAGAAGAGACATAATAATGGCATTCTATTCATCACTTTTGTGAATATTTTATTGAAAAAAACACGTCGAGGTCTACAATAGTTTGTTTATACGTATAAACAAAGAAAAGTATAATGTCGCTTGCCGTTAGCTGAAAAAAATCTGATAACAATCGGTTTCTAGTTATTTTGTTGAATGATTAAAAGCCATATCTACTATAGTGAATATCTATAATATCGTATAAATTTATTAGAAAATGTTAAAGAAACATTTTTATATCCAGTTTTTATTTGTTATTCTCAGAGGAAAAACAAGAACATTATATGGTAATTACTTATGATAAATAGTATAAAATGAGATTTACTCACGTGAAATATTATCAATCAAATATAGTCGTTATAGTTTCATTTGAATCGATATAGGAAAGAGATTAACATTAGACTTAAACGATAATTATAGATTTTTTCGATCTATTATTCATAGTTCGTTCGCTTTTTTTGCTAGCCGTCATTCCTTCTATGATAATACTGTTGTTGCTGATGATGATGATGAGTGCATTCTTTGCATATAGTTGACAACCGTTTCTTTTTTTTTTCTTTTCTTTTTTTTTCAATAAGCAAAACATGTAACGAATTTTGATCAGAATTAAAAATTCTTTTCATGAGTAAATCTAAAACATCTATTTTAATACCTAAAATACATTCAACTCAATATCTACATGAATAATTATTCCAAAAAATTCTCAATTGATTTCTAAGAATTATCATATGACAATACAGTACAAAGTTTTGTTTTGTTTTTCTTCTTGTCCTTATAGATCCTATTTTTCAATCGATGACAAACGACACATTAACAAAACAGAAAAAAAAGAATAAAACATGATAAACAAAGCAATTCACACCATTGGTTACATCGATCTTACCATATAATTTACAAACAAAACAAAGGAAATCGGATCTAAGAAAATATTGATTTATTATAAACGTGTCATTGTATCAAAATAATATGAAAACAAACTTTTTTCAAATAATCTATATATAAATGGAAGATACTCAGCAAAACATTATGTTAACCATAAACACTCGATATTGCAATCATAACTAATGTATTTTCAATAAAAAAAAGTATCTTCATTTGATTTTCTTCTCGTTGAGAGTCATAAAAAAAATAAAACCATGAACAGATGTTAGTCATAATTGCACGTAGAAGCTCATACCAAACAGTAGTGTTGCTTTCTTTTTCAGTAGGCGGTTTAACAAGCTCGTTTATTCAATAATTAAATCTACACATGATATCCTTTAGCTTAAATTCAAATAACATTGTATTGTAAAAATCATACTAATTGAAAACTAGGCTCTAGAGAAAACAATATAATATGTAGACGAGACAAAGGTATCTCGAGGGAGGTGATGAAAATCTTGTGAGAACATTAATTATTAAGATGCTGACAGCTTGTCAATACGAATTAGTTTTCTTTTTCTTAAGTTTATTAAAGTTTTATGAGATTAAAATCCATCATGTGTGCAGAGTAATAAGACTATACGTAATTCTCAAGTACCTAGGAACATTTGTTTTGTTTTTCTTTAGTATAAAAGAACTATTCCAAATAAAATCTTAATTTGAATTTCTGTATGTATCTAAGGTGTCGTAAATGCAACGTTATAGCAGAATTCTTTTTTTTTTGTTCTTTTCTTATATATGATTAGATAGAGCTTGATGAGTCGACGAAAAATGCGTGCGTTTTCAATGTTTTCAGAAAAAATTTCCAGTTTTTTCATTTTTTTGAAATTTCAAAACTATTTGTTTGAGATTTAGCGCAGAAAACTGAATCTAGAAAACTCATTTAGAGTTTTCTAGATTCACTTTTTCACGTTAGATCTCAAATAAACAGTTTTGAAATTTCAAGGAAATCAAAAAATCAAAAATTGATCTATCTTTTTGAAAAATTCAGGTCATCTGAAAAAAAGTGAAAATTTTCTTCTAAAAAATTATTCGAAAAAAGTGAAAATGCACATATTCTTGATTAGTCCATCAGATTCTGTCTAATCACATATAAAGAAAAAAAACAAAACAAAATTTCTGCTTTAATTTACATTTCTAACATCTTAAATAATCTACCGATTTTTACACGTTACTCGAGTTTATTGCAAAAGAAAAACAAAAAAAATGAGTTAGACAAATGTATCATGTCCATAGAATAACAACATGATGCCTGCAGATATAGAGGCTCTGTCTTCGACGGACCAATCGATTAATTATTCTAAAACTCAGGTGACATGATCGTCACGCGAAGTTGCTTATTGAAATTCGATCTCAAATTCGTTGAATATTCAATTGAATAACTAAAATCATTGAAGTATTGCATCTACTGAATAACAACAAAACTTAACTGATAATAGATCATTAATTTTTTCCAAATTATGATTCGCGCATAATAAATTTTCACTCGATGATGTATGTTTTAGATACTGAACAAAATATCTAATACATTTGATAAACCTTCGAATGATTAGATATTATTCGAGTAATCATAGCTAAATCTGAATCGTTCTCAGTAACAGGAAGGAAAAAAAACAGTTCAACGTCTTTACCGTGCTAATGGTTTTTGTTTATATGATTGTATTTGATCGGGTCTTAAGCAAGTTATCAAATTATAGTTCATTAGACTTAATGTAGTGATTATATTCATGGCGAAAATACTAAATGATATGCTGAATTTCCAGATACATCTTAGTGCAGTCTTTTCTTTGGAATTCATTAGATTCTTCTCTCATCTAGCTTCTATCATAATAGATCATCATCAAGATTGTGTTGCATTTTTGCCTTTTCTCCTTTTTGATATTCTATATGTTATTCTAACAGATACATTTGTTCTTAGGCCAGAGTCTCTTAGAAATATTAAGATCACAGAGTTCAATTAAGTAAGTAAGTAAATAACAGATAAGTAACATGATCTTGTTTTCCTGTTTACACAAACAATCGAAAACATACTGATTAGTTTTGAAGAAGAAGAAGAAGAAGTCTGATAGAATGTCACATTATCATAAAGAATATGGTCTTGTTTGATCTGTAGTGTGTAACATTAAAATAGTTCCAGCAAAAATAACGTGTAAGTATTGAACTTATACGTGAATCAGACACTGATATTCAATGTTTTAATTTTGTTGTTTCACTGTGAATAATTTAAAAACGGAATTTAATAAGGAAATTAAACATAAATCAAGCGTAAAATATCTTGAAAGGCTAAAATCAATAACGATATCATTATGTAATATTGATCAACCATGTTTATTAGAATTAAATAATTTTCTAATTTATTCTTAAATTTTAATAATATTTAATTTCTATAATATGAATCATAATATTGATTAACTAAAAATATCTATTCAGCAGATTACAATAGAATAATTTGTTCATTTGACTTTATTTGCTTTGCATTGTATCAAATGAATAACTAATTAAGAGCTTTTACCTTAATTTATTCAAGCACTTTGAATAAGATGACTGCGATATTGAATTAGAAAGTGAAGAATATTAATATGTTAGAAGAAAAAAAAGATGTGCTAACATCTGATCTATTAATAATTTACGATAAATTACAAAAATAGGATTTCTGCTTTTATTCTACATAGCTCGATACCGACGCATTTCTACAAAGTTAAATGATTTTTTTTCCGAAGTTGAACTAGACATATAAAAAAACATGAACTAATCTTCATTGAAACTAGGTTATACAATATTTGATAATACAAGATTTTTAATTAAGCTCTTCATTTTCATCTTGTACCTTTCTTTTATATATCTATTATTACTCTATGTGATTAATTTATGCAAAGATATTTCCCCGATCACAATGAATTTCATAAATACATTATAAATATATCAAAATAAATTATAGAAAAAAAATTGTCATATTTTACTACAAAAAACTTATGTTAGAGAGTGCCAAAATAATTATTAATACATAGATACGATATATTTAATTTATCAAAATAATTCTTTTACTGTCTACTTAAGAAAGCCTCAAGCATCACAAGTAATAAATTTATCTTCCGTTTCTATACGAGGATAAAAATGCATCACAATAGAATAATGAATATTCTTTTCTATTTTGAATGACAAACACCATTGTATACAACACTGTTAAGCTCTGATTTTTTTAAGCTATTTTCAAATAATATTATCACAAGTAATGTCTAAAATTAGATGACACACAGACTAAGCTCGTACTGCGAAGCACATTCCCAAAATGTTCTTGTTGGTTAGGAGATTGCAGAATTTTCGAATTAGTCGAAATGTCACATATAATAAAACATATTTTCTATATTGTACAAAGTAGAACGATAAGTTTAATGGTATATAACACAAATCGTCTATTAGGAAACCAACCGAGCTTTGTGCTAATTGACAATCAATAAATGGTGTATCAATATAACATAATGATATCGTTATTGATTTTAGCCTTTCAAGATATTTTACGCTTGATTTATGTTTAATTTCCTTATTAAATTGGGTTTTTAAATTNAAATTCATATTATTATAGTGCACGAGAGTTCTTGACAATGGCAGTAATATTCGATCTATTGAACACTCACTGTTACTGCTGAAACTTATTTTCATTATCTCGAGAAAAAAAATAAATAGAATTGACACTTCAAAATTGTCATTTTGTGGAGTACATAGGCAACGAACGAAAGTTTGTATCGAAGTTTAGACAAAAAAATGATCAAACAGAAACAGAACATTGTAACAATAAACAAAAATCGTACGACTGTTCGACCTTTATATAATTGAAAAACAAAACAGCAATTTCAACTTATGTGTGGAGAAAGAAAAAAAAAATTGTGAACGATTACTGTACAGTGCTTCATAATGGAATAAAAATATTTCACGTCCAATCTTATATCATGACCACAGTTTATTTGTTTATTCGCATCATTTTTTTTCCTATGAAATAGGAGTAGAAATAGAAATAAATATGTAATCGAAAATTCATGCAGTCTAATAATCAGAGCCTTTTGGTGCTCTTCAAAAACTAAACACATTGGCTAAACTCTTTTTCCGGGCAAAAAAAACTGAATCTTAAAATGAGAAAGAATGAATAATAATTCCTTTGAACTGTTGGTGAAATATTATCAACAATATCTCTTCTCGTTTATTTTTAATAAATAAGTTCGGAAAAAAAGCAAAACAAATAGAAAAATAAATTTTTCTGATAGTCAAAAAGGTTCATTTTACATCTTTAATAAATGATTTAATTTATCAAGAAGATAATCTGTATGTGTAAGTTTATAGTATAAATAAATATGTATTATGGAAAGAATGCCGACCCTAAAAGCAAAACGATAAATTTTAGTTTAATTGAAAACAAAAATTAAATTTATTTCATACATGAATATAACAATATAGATGATTTTATCTTCGTCAGAAGTTCTTATATTTGCATTCGCATTATTAGATAATGATTGATTGACAAGCTGTATATCGTGTTGACTGATCCTACGAATATTGTCGATAATAGGCTCTATTGATGTTACTTCACCATTAGTTAAACCACGTTTGTCTTGAAAATAGAAAGAATTAAAAACAAAAATACAATTTTTTTTCCTTATTTACCAGTGGGACAATGTATAAGAGAATTAAGGCGAGTATCTGTGATAAATAAACATATATTTTCTTTTTCATCGATCGAATAAATCTATTTTCTTACTTAAATCTTTTAAACCGTCTTGTGATGCTGCATAAGAATTTCGTTCAATAAATTCTAATAATAAAAATATTCTAAGTAATAAATAATTTAAATAAATATGAGAAACAAACGTTTTATAAATGCATTAACAGATTTAATATATTGAATTCGAGCAGTCACAAGTAGATTTGATGTTGTTGACGATATTTGAACAAGACAAAAACGTATAATAAGAGCAAATGTATCACTAAATCTGACACCGTCATTATATACTTCGGTTTCAATGACATAATGAGAACCAGGTACTTCACAAGAACGTATCTAAATTTTTGAAAGTAAATATTCGATTAAATGAGAAAAAAAAAATTTTTTAAATACTAACTTGTTTTTCACGTGTAACAATTGTACTTTTACCCAATAATCTAGTTTCAAATGGTACTTTATAATTAAGTATTCGTTCACGAAGATTTGTTTCTTCATTTATTATCCAATCAGTTTCTGTTTGATCTAAATATAATACAAAAGGAAAAAAAAATTAGAAGTAAATCTACTTCAAAAATATTTACCAAAGAGATGTTGAGCTTGTCGATATGTTCGAACAAATTCATTTGAACCAAATATTAAATCAAATAATTTATCAACTGGTAAATCATATTTATGTTCAATTAATTGTTTATTATAATGTTTATCACATGGACATTTACTTCTATATATAATACAATTTTCAGTTAATGAAGTTTGAATATTTATTTCAATATTATTATTAACTAATGGAACTGTATGATCTATTGTTGTTGAAGAATTACGTCGTCTTTTTTTCTTCTTCTTTTTTGTTGGATGATTATTTACTTCACTTAATACAACTTTATGATTATTATCATCATCAACAACTGTAACATTCTAAATCATTTTAAAAAGAAGATTTTGTTATTTAAAGAAAATTTATTTAAATTATATTAAGTCAAAGTTCTTACATTTTGTTTTGATGGTACATGCTTCCTTGACGAACTAGACATGCTAACGAAAAACAGCAACAGTCAAAATATTGGTTGCTATTGAGCGTTTATTGACATAAAAATCAACATTTTCTCATGCAAGATCGTTTTTTTTCTTTCAGAAATTTATTTTTTATCGTCCATAAGTAAGAAGAGAAAAAGAAAGAAAGAATAAAAAAATATTTGTTTTGCTTGACTCAACAGGTGTGCATGTCGATGGTATAGAATGACGAAAAAAAATCAATCATTGTGAAAAGAACAATAAAAAAAATCATGGCCGGATTCAATATTTTAATTTGACGTACAAATTCCATAGTTATTAACTAAATTATATTACTTTATTTTTAATAATAATAATAATACTATTGGCAATTATCGAAGTAAATCGATAAAATAATCAATGTTAAGTATTATAATGTATTAAATCAAAAGCATTTCCATCAAGTATATTTATTTTTGAGTTGCTATTTATACAAAAAACGCAAGGTCGTTCTATTGAGGCTTTTCTTTTAGTATATTTTTCCTCGTTTATTCTACCATAAAATTTGTAAAGTTACAGAACAAGGAGGCGAAATCACACTTTCGAAGACACGCGTATGCCATGACAATTTGATTACTATCTAAATTAATAATTATAATCAAAATGGAATGAGTAATACTCATTAACATATGTTGTGTAAGGATTTGAAAAATTAAAATTTTCTAATGACAATGAAAGAGTTAAATAATAGCAGTCGTTGTTTATTCAGTGAGAAGTTTTCATTTTTTGGCGCGGAAGGAGAATAGACGATTAAAATTTGATTTATTTCCATAAGGAATAGATTGAATAAGTATATTTACATACTTATTCATATGAATTTGTTTGATTTCATCAACTGTTTAAGTTGCATATACAGATTAATATGTTTCGAAAATAATAACAATGATCACAAAGTTATTTTTATTATCATGAATTGAACTACGGTGAAATCTCGATTAAAAAAAGCATTTCCCTACTCTCAACTTGAACATTGCTTTTACAGTCATGATTGCTATTTTCACTTTTTTTTGAATGAATACATGTGAATCCTATTTTTCTTTCTCTCATAGCGATGAGAGGGACCAATTGTGTTTGGTTCCACTCAGAGAAAAAAATTAGTTCTGATTTCACGCTTAATAATAAAGTATCAGCGAAAAGTGCGATATGGTTTTTTAGCAGTATTAATGTCCTCGAGACATCTTGCATGACTTTTAATGTCGTCCTTCTTGTGAAATTCATTATTCTTTTTTCAATTCACTAATATCTCATATATTTCGCATATTTATGTATTCGACAACTCTGCTGTTTAAGAACAAAAGAATTAACTTTACTATCAAAATTGTAACAGCAACTAGTGAAATAAAACGTTACTTAATAGTTTTCGCATCAACTTCTACTGTTGGGCCTGATTTCGATCCAGTCAGAACTATATTGTCCATATCTATCCTCTTGTCTTCATCATTTCTAGCTAACGCACTAAAACCATTGTTCATTAGTTATTATAACTTTATACAGCAGAAAAACCAATGACATCACAACATTATCTTACATTAAGGGAGAAGGGGAGGGGGGTGTCCTCAGCCTAACATACCCTGAAATTTTGCCAGTTTTTAGGGAATACCTTCAATGGTAAGTCTGTGGAATAAAGAAAAATTCATCAATTATTGACGGAGTTATTAATTAATTAAGTTTGAAATTAATTAACATTTTGGGCTTGAAAAGTACTTTTTAAAAACGTTCTACTTTTTCATATGTACGTTATTTTCAGTTAATTCTGGTGTAGTTTTGTAGAGAATTGTTTGTAGATATTCTTTCATAGAAAAAAGTTTAAAAATAACTTCTGTGAGTACCTTTTAATCACTAATTAGTCCTAATTCGTGCTTATTTATGATACTGCAGCGGAAAAAAGTAATTTTTTCCAATATAAGAACAAATGAAAAGAAATTGTGCTATATATCATTCGATTGAGCTTTTCAAACTCTATCGATTGCTCTACTCCTTTCTTT